TTACTACCTGCGTTAAATAACACAACAATAACAACACGCGTTCGTGACGAAGATGCCGTTACGTTGGCAGCGTTGGTGCCAGACCGCGCAGACCGCTTTCTTCTTCTAAATATTGCGTGGTTGCCAGCTCTCATCAAATTAGAGGAAAAATATAAGTTGAAACAACGAAAAACAGTGCGATTATTAAATGCACAATTGCAGGCCAAGAGGAAGCGTGGAAGACCCATGAAAAAGAGGGATTGAGGCAACACAGGAAGATATAGCAACATATAGGCATAGATTTTCCATTTTGCAAAAATTGTCGAATTTAGATTGGAAACTCGAACCTCCGAGTTTTAGGTTTATAGAAAAGTGACGTGGATGAAATGTTATAAAAATGATCGTGTAGATCGTAGGGGTCGGGCCGCGTTAATATTTTCTTTTGGATTTTCGACTTTCAAAGCTAAACTCGATGTTTCCAACCTAAACTCGAAAAATTCCAACATATACATTCTAGTTTTTCTTTAGTTTTTTAGTTTAGAATTTCAGAGTCAGTCGGAATATCAAACCTTAAAAGATGTTGCATTGGGTCAGTAATAAACAGTTTCGACCTAATTTCGACAACTCTGATTTAATTGTGCAAATTTCCAATTAAATTCGGAATCTTAGTTATTAGTAAGAATTTCTGGAACGGAAATTCGAGTCTATGAAGATTTGAACTGATGGCATCAACTCTCTTATAGAAATTTCGACAGAAAACACGAAATGACGACCTACACTCAAAACCTCTGATGCGGTAAATGCGCCCCGGAAGACACGGCTCGGTAAATTCGCCCCCAGAATATTCTCCCCAAGTAAATTCGCCCTCAACAAATTCGCCCCCGGAATATTCGCCCCCAACAAATTCTCCTCCGAAAAATTCGCCCCGACAAATTTGCCCTTAGAATATTCGCCCCCGTAGGATTCGACCCATAACATTTATTAACCCTCGGAAGTAATAGGTTGGTTTGGTAACATATTAAACAAATAACAATTAAACAAAATTCATTTTATGAACTTCTGGCCCTGTTACCTCCCAGGATTAATAAATGTTATGGGGCGAATCCTACGGGAGCGGAATCGCCGGGGGCGAATCTTCCAGAAGCGAATTTGTCGGGGACGAACTTGCCGGGGGCGAATTTTCCGGGGCGAATCTTTCTGGGGCGAATCTTATGGAGGCGAATAGTCCGGGGGCGAATTTACTTGGGGGCGAGTTTTCTTGGGGGCGAATATTCAGGGGGCGAATTTTCGGAGGCGAATTATCCTACAATCCTTCCGATATCTGAACCCACCTAAAATCCGAAAACGTTAAATTTAATTTCGTGACAAAAAAATCGAAATTTCCAAGTTTAGGTTGGAAATTATAGCATCAAAATGTTGATTTGTTCACATAATATGAAATATGTATATAACAAACAATCAGGTAGGTCTAGAAGGGTCATTTCTTTTAAGAATTCACACTTGAATTTCGTCTGATACTGCAACTCCGACCTGCATTTCAAGTTTCTGACCTTAACTCAGGAAAATTCCCAATTAAAATTGAAAATTTGGAGGCAAGAATTTTCGATATTATGGCGGAATGACCGAGTTTTATTGGTTCATGTCGGGATTTGTAGGACAACCGGAAAATTAACAGAATGCGTTTTTAATTATGTTTATTTGTTTTTAGTAGATAATTCGATCATTAACAGGTGTCAATGAAATAACAATACAACAAAATGTATTTATTGTGGAGTTTTTATGTTTGTTTGTCATTAGGACAGACCGTTCTTTTCACACAGCCCTTAGCGGAGATGAGTATTAAATTCATCAAGTTTCTCCAGATATGATGCCTGAAGGTAAACCTTCTTGGCGTGCACTCAGTGAAATCAGATGTAGGAGATAGTTGTTCCTTACGCCCCCCCCCCCCCCAATTTTAGGAGAATTTTGAACAGACAGTATAGTGTAGTCACCCTTCCCTACACCAGTATCCGCACTTTCTTTCATCTAGAATGTGGGGTGGTTTGGATGATGTTTCATTTTATTGATTGGTATCGGCTGCCTTAGTTACCATGGATACAATGTGCCGTGTTGGTGCCGGGTAGTGACTATGCGAGATAATAAACGAATGAATTTGTTTTCAATCATAATCGGCCATGGAATTATTGCCATAAGAAATACATTGTAAACTTCGAGGCAAAAATGCACGGTTGATTCCCAAATGAAATACCAAGTGGTCATGGCCATGGATTTTTCTAATATTATTTAAAGATCAAATTAATTCCAAGTATCGCAATATTCCGAAATTCCCACAGGAACGGGAACAGGAAAACACAGGATTTTATGATTTACAGTCGAAAAGACTTGCCATTTATAACGTATGTTTGTTTGAAGGCGTTAACGTGCACTCCGAAAGAATTTCCCGAAGTTCCCACGGGAACGGGGAAAACGGGATTTCTTAAAGGCGGACTGCTAGTATTCTTGCTTTCAGACTTCAGTAAACCTAAGGGAACGAGTGCTATTGGGCTGAAATTTTCAAAGATTTTTACTATTGTGATCTTATATCACAGATTTCTGTCAATGTGTGAACGAAAAACTAGTGTGGTTTTCCTATGTAATTGGAGAAAGACGAATCAAGGCATCTAAGTGAATACATTTGCCGTAACACCAGACAAATTCAGACTGTTAGTCAACAGACATCATTAACTATATTAAAAAAGGCAAACTATTAATCACAGCTAATGCATCAGTAAATAAATATTTTTACCGCCGTTCGATACTGAGGTCAGGTGGGATCACTTGTTGTAAAGAAAAGTGAGTAGGGATTTAAGTAATGGAAGGATTGGGATAAAATCATTACTAATTGATGCGTTTTTAATCCTTCCAATGGAGTAAAAATACAAGCATTCTTGTTTGTGGGTGTTAACATTATTGATCTATATTGATGCAAATTTATTCACACTAGTTTTTCCGTGCAAGTGGAAAACCGTTTCGCTACAAATATTTTTACTTTAGGAAGATCGGCTTAGAAGATGTTTAAGAAACAATTCATCCAATGGTGTATAAAAACCGTTTCCGAAGGCGAAACCTCAGAGTTTATGCTAAATACCCAACATTTATAAGAGAGATCTACTCCCATCCGTAAAATTAAGTTTTTAGCGATTTTTACTACTGGCACGTGAGTAAGGATGGCATGGGGTGAAAAATGACCCCCCATTTTCTTAACGGAAATATACGTTTTGAAGCACCAGGAATCCAAATCAAACAAAATCTCGATTATGTCCGTTTGTCTGTCTGTATTCCTATTCCGGCTAAACGGCTGAACCGATTATTCTTAGACATAAAAGGAAGATCTGCAAAGCTTTTGAGCAGAAATTCTGTTTTTTGAACTGCACCCTACACCCCACGTATCGAGCCCAATAGGGCATTTAAATGTCCGAAATCTGCGGAACGTTTTTTATGAAAGTTCACAGTAACTTTTTTTTTAATAAACGCATATCGATCGTTTCTGTTAAACATGTCCAAAATCGGGTTTGCGTGGAAAATGGATCCTTAATATGTAAAAAGGAAAGAGAGATGGTGTCAAAACTGAGTATCGGGAGAAGGGAGTGTTGAAAGGATTTGTCGTTCGGATTAAGACTTTAGAGGAGCATGTGGCGTCGTGGCGACAGTGGGATGTACGAAGAGAGTGCCCATTAAAAAATTCTCATATATTACTTTGCTTGCTATTCCTTTTGTTGTTCTTTAGTTCGGTTTTTACTAACCGTAGATAACATCTTTCTCATTCTGGGACCTGGGTATGATAATCGAGGCCCCCAAGTCACCCCATTTATTCCAATTCTCTTTACCTTCTCCATAATTTGTGTTAATCTGGAAAAATATCGTATTGTCTGTGAAGGGATTGTCACAAAATGGAAGAAAATAATGTTAACTTAGATATTGTAGAGTTAAGAGTAGAGGTAGACTACTGTATTTTGGGTCCCAATTCAAATATGAAGTAAGTATTTCAAATTGGAGTATAGTTCTAGGTTAAAAATGACTTTCGGCAGTATTAGAAAAATGGAAATAATCACCTATTATATTTATCGATATGTACGTCTATGACAACTTGTTGGTTTTGTGGTAACACTATCAAATCACCTGTAAATCATGTGCAAGTACTTGAGAATATATAAAGATTAGACTATCAGTAAGATACGCCCATTTTGAAACAGTGCTGTGACTGTATCCATGCGTGCTTGCATCGGCGCTGTGATAAATCCTATGGACTATGGTAAATATTGGCATAGCATATCGTATAGTTTATAGGTTAAAGCGGGTTTTTTTAGTCTATGGTTAAAGTAATGGCTGTAGAATTAATACTATCATCATCCGCATTCTTGTAATACAAACCCGATTAATATGCTAATGAAGTTAAAACACCTCATTGAGATAATCTTTAGTCACAGCAATTCGTCTCATCAATTTTATGAATCATTAACAATGACTCGAATGGGTTATTATTTATTTCTCCCAAATTATTATTGCCATCGTAATTTTTATGCGTTACTTAAGTGGCCGGACTCGGATCATTTCAAATTTTCAGTTTTGACCCCAAACCATTACGTAAAACGAACATTCACCATCAGCATCAGGTATTATTTGCATGAGGCGACCTTATTCTTAAATTCTAACTATTATGAAAATAAGTTAATAGTTTAACGGTTGTCGTGAACGGTTAATCGATTATGACGATGTAGGTACAGTTTTTGTTTGAAAACTTTCCCAGATTTCGTATACTTGATGCGATTGTTCGTTGTGGAAAACCTTGTACGTTCCCATGGATTGGGAAACTTCGTTTGGCGTAGAACTGGCATCCCATGACCAAAATTCGCGTACGAATAAGGAATCTAAAAATGTGTACCTATATGTGATCGGATGTTTGTTTGATAAGGTGAAGGTGATTGCTAGTAAAACCGCATATCCATATCACTACGTTCATTCACATGCGTGTCAGCATGAATCACGCGTTGCGTAAAATTGGAAAGACAGGGCCTGGGTGGATGTGTCGGTGATTCCGATAAAGTTACGCAAGTGTGTGTTTCCTACGTACGTTGCACGTGCCAATTAAAACTGACCTGGGGTGGTTTATTTGCGATTCGTACGTGGTACCCCAAGTACCAAGTGCGCGGACTGAAAATTATGGTACGTAAGTAGGTAATTTAGTGCAATGGTAATTATTGCCACATCAACTGCTTATACTTCTTTGCTTTGGTTATTTGGTTATCACATTCGGGGTGCAAAATCACCGCGTAAAAGCATAGAAAAATTCTGCTAGGGGCGACTTATATATTTCTGTATGGACTATCCCGAGAGCAACTGTCTATCGTTGGGATTCGGCTTCACAAATATTACAGTTGACCAGTTATGACTTTTTTTAAAAAAGGTGTAAAACGCATAATGAAAATAATACTAACTATACGATAAGCATGCAAAACCTAACAAAATAATAAAAATGCAAAATTTCTTCCCCTTTTCGAAATAAAAATTTTGAATTTCTAGTGAATCGCAAATTCTTTATCCAAAATTATTACTTGATCAACTATATGATTGATTGAAGATTTGTCTTTCCAGTTTCTTGACATTTGTTTGCAATAGGTACATACTTGTACTTCCTTTTAAAGATTTTATGTGGTGTCATAACGGGTAAAAGAGACCCAACGGCTTTAAATGCCTATAGGTTGAGCTCTTTAAGAATTTTCTTAATTAAATTTTCAAACTCAATCAAATTAAAATTACGACGATTTTTTTTCTTAAATATTCAAACCTTTAATTTTACATACCTCAATGAACAAAATGCTGCCTCACATACGACGGCCCTCTTGCAGACGACGTTGGGACAGGTTTGGATTAGATAAAAAAATGTTCCAAAACCCACTCGTGGGTATTGCCGCGTAACACAAAGTATTGAAACGATGCATCGTCATCGAAAGTACACAAAATGTCGAATCTGTATATTGAAGTACATCCACGTCCAGAGAAAGAGAGGGGTTAAATAAGTAAAATAAAGTTTCAAAGAACTTACCACACATAAGAAAGTTGGTTATGAGCAGTCTGTGCAGTCACTGCGCATGTCCACATAATTTTTACCATGTGCGAAATGTTTGCCTTTACTAGAAGCATCTGTGGTTAAAATTTCAAAGAAATATCTCCATAAATATGAAAGTTGGCATTGCGCAGTCTGCGCAAAATATGGAGTTAAATGAAACTGATCGAAATGGGCAAATATAGACCATAACAGCTATCAATTAGCGAAAACCCGAAGTCTCTAGGTGGCCCAGGGGCCGAGATCTCGATGGAACGGACGGACGGACGGACGGACGGAAACACGAGCACATAAGCTTTACCTCAACTTCGTTGTGTTACGCTAATTACCTCAACTTCGTTGTGTTACGCTAAAAAATTGGAAATACTATTACAAGTAGGGGAAAGCTTCGATACGTAAAAATGTGTACTTTAAATGTTCGATTACGATTACAAACATCCATAATTCAATCCCTTCACTAAATATTTACACAGCAGTTTTAACAATGGTTCTTTGTGATAATAAAATATATTAACGCGCCTCCTTAAATTGTTCTGGTTTTTTTATCACCCTACGTAAACAGTTCTTACGCAGCGTTAAGTGTCTATTACGCCCTTTTAATTTTGTGATAATCCGTATTTTCCTACGTGTATACAACCGATACGTTCTTAGTTATTAACGTCAATCTTTTTTTTCTGTTTTAACGATGATTACCGGAACTCGCGTTACTATATTTTACGTTCCAAACACAAATACTGGACGTGACTTTTGTGTAAAAATCGAATCTGCTTCAAACTTTAAAGGACTCTAATTTTCAGTCTACACATCGCTTACCCTGGCAATCAAAAACCCGAATGAATGTCCCCTAAAACTAATTCCTACTATTATATACGGAATTCGCTATGTTTTTACATTGTGCCAATTGAAATCGTTATATTCATTGAAAGTACAGAAGAAACAGGTGGGTCCGATTCTCGAAATTTTGCTGATTGATCTTAGTGACCTAATGCTGAGCTAGCAAGTGTAACCCAATAGCACTAATTAAGAAGATGAAATATGATATAAATGCCAGATATCTCAGCTCGAGTAGAAGAACTGGTCGACATTTAAGGGTAGGTATTTGAGGCACGTTGTAAACTTGTCTTATACTTTTCTAATAATACGCAAACGCAGAATTGCAGATCTGGTTGTCTCTCCGGCCAAAATTGTACGGCGAACTTAACGTAAGTGTCGAGACTTAAACCTTGCCAGGTGCTTGCAAAATTATTTTACAAAAAAATTGAAAAAAAATATGTTTATTATTAAAAACAAATATAAACAGAAAAAACCAGCTAATTGCCGTGGGACATTCTACCTGTCAGGTGATCGAGAAGGTTACGTTTGCGTGTGTGTGAAAAGTGTTATAGGCAAGTTGCATCGTAACTCACACTGTGTGGTAGAGTGCGTACGTCGTCAGCTGTTTGCATGCGAGGACACCGTCCCTTAAAATATTCATACTGTTGAGAGTCGGAATTTTGGTCCCAAACTTTACAAGGAAATTTCGAAAAAAATTAAATACAAATTTAGAGCTACCGTTACAATTACCCCATATAAGTAATTCCGAGAAGTATAGCTTATTCCTTTATAATTACTTTGCATTGGCGTAAAAAATGACCCCCTACTTTTGAACAGAAATACACGTTTGAAGCACCAAGAATCTGAATCAGACAAAATCTCGATGATGTCGATCGGTCTGTCTGTCTGTCCCCTTATTTCCGGCTAAACGGACGAACCGATTTAAACCCAGGTTTAAACAAAAATTGGTACCCATATTCTTAGACATAAAAGGGCAGAATCGCCCATGCACAGGTGGTATCTGTGCTAGCCATAGAATTTTTTTTTTATAGAATCATGCTAGATGCGCCCTTTTACCCTCTGAAGTTGCAATATTTGTCAACTGAGTGAGTCGGAATATCTGGAGTGTCGGACGAAGAGGCTCGTATAGAGAAAGGAAAGGGCATCGATGATATAAATGTCTGTTGGCGGAGTTAAAACAAAAAAAAGTATCTCGCAATCTAGCTCTCAAACGAGTTATCGGAAGAGGTACTCGAAAAAGGAAGATGGTACGTTTGGATAAGGAGTATCTGTGGGTGAAGTCAAAATTGTTTTTCGGTTTTTAATACCGCTCGACAGTCACGGCTGGCCTTTGGCAGTTTGTTCGGAATATCAGAAACAAAGAGGAATTCACCCATAAGACATTTTTGATCGTACTCAACTCCGGAAAATTTGAGTATACCCTGTATACTAAATCAAAAAAATATTTACGCTAGTCAAATTCAGCAAAGGTTTATACTAAGGTTGATATAAGTGACCATGTGATTATCTTAACCCGAACTGTTTTTGAATTATTTGAGTTTTTACACATTTTTCGCAAGTAATCTTAGAACTTATACCTTCAGCTTCTTAATTTACTACTACCAGTTTACTTCTTCAGCATTTTCCAACAAGCTGCCCATACGTTTTACAGTTATAAAGACGCGTGTGAGCGGAACATTCCGTACCTTATGGACACAACAACTACTAAACATTGTCATATGGAAGTAATGTTAAAGAAAGATCAAATTCTTCTGCGATGCGGATTAGTGTTCCTTTGGTGTCCGAACGACTAGATGTTCAAAACCTCTAAAATGAAAAAAAAATGAATTGTGGCTTTTGGATCACATTGTCTATGGGCCGGTCTGCCTGACTTCCATCTCTGACCTAAACGCCTTACCATTCTTCGTATATAATTATAAAGCAGTTCAGGTTTAATTTCTTATTTATTTGTGAATTGAAAGGGAGCCAGTCACACTCCTACGTATAAACCATTGACTAATCAATGGTATAATCAAACAGTAAACTTTAGGGAATTATTATGTCAAGTAGTTTACAAGAAAGCTATGAGAGTGATGAGTTGATGACTAAACTAATAAAAAAAAGTAGTACCTACGTGCGAGGGCACTTATCTTTATTGTTACCTGCATGCCTACGTCATTGGAAATGAAATGATTGAAAAACTATAATAAAATCATTACGCGGCAATAGTTAAAATTGCATTCACTTTCGCAATCATAGTTGAGTAATCATTCTATGGCGTTACATCACTTTGATAAAAAGGAAATTATGCATACTTCCTTTTCGTTTCCCAAGAAATTTGATGCAAAGTGTTTAAATAAGTTCTTTGGTGTGATGCTCGTCGGTTTTTGTACGACGTGTTTTGACACGATATCGTTAGAGTACCGTGTGGTATACACGAGGGTATACAGGTTGATTCAAATTCGAGGACCACCATGGGGATCTCGGGAACTAAGAGATAGGTAGGTAGTTTATATTTGGCACAGTTGCGTATTTTTTTATGCTTAACAAAATGCAGTTTCGAAACTGAAAAAATTCCGACTACTTTCGGAGATATCCGGAAAAAACGAAAATTTGCAAAATCGTTTTTATTTTTTGAAGTTATTAAAAAAAAAGTTTCAAAATAAATAACACATTATTATGGCCACTCTTTTCCCTCTACAAGATGCTACTTTTGAATTTTAAGTTTGACGTTTCGTCTCGAGTCAACCATCATCAACATTGTTTTTTCTTATGGAAGTCATTTTTACTTTTTGTGTCATTTGATAGAGAATTTTTTTCTGATTTCAAAAATGTAAACATCACTATCTTTTAATAAGAAATATGACTATTAATTCGTAAAAAACCCAAGAAACAGCGTACGTACACTACACAAGACAAAGTTTTCTAGGCAAAAAAGAGATATTTTAACAATATTAAAAAAATTGTTATGTTTACATTTTTGAAATCAGAAAAAAATTCTCTATCAAATGATGCAAAGGGTCAAAATTACTTCCATAAGAAAAAACAAAGTTGATCATGGTTAACCGGAGACGAAACGTCAGACATAAAATTTTAAACTAGCATCTTGCAGAGTGAAAAAAGTGTGTTATTTATTTTGAAATATCTTTTTAAATAACTTCAGTGAAAAATAAAATTTTTGCAAAATTTCGGTTTTTTCTGGATATCTCTGAAAGTAGTCGGAATGTTTTCAGTTTCAAAACGGCATTTTGTTAAGCATCAAAATACGCAACTTTGCCAAATTTAA